CGTGCATTGATCATTTCGAAGTCTTCGAAAACTCTTTGATTTTTTGGGGGGTGGGCAATGTCCTTTCACTTCTAATGACTATATCCTGGGCCTCTTCGCTGGCCACTAGGGGGCCGGGAACAATTAGAAACGAGAACACTTAGAACCGAGCACGATTCGAAATGAACGACGTGCATGGTTTATTTCAAAGTCTTTGGAAGTTCTTTGATTTTTTCGGGGGGCAATGTCCTTTCACTTCTACTGGTTCTATCCTGGGCCTCTTCGTGGCCACTAGGGAGCCAGGAATATTTAGAAACGAGCACAATCATACATGAACGACGTGCATTGTTCATGTCGAAGTCTGCGAACTTTCTTTATTATTTTTTTTCGGGGGGGGGGGGGGGCAAGATCCTTTCACTTCTAATGGTTCTATCCTGGGCCTCTCCCTGCTCCCTGGCCACTAGGGGGGTCAATAACAATTAGAGACGGGCACAATTAGAACTGAGCACGATTAGAAACTAACAGCGTGCACTGTTCATTTCGAAGTCTTCGGAAGTTCTTGGATTTTTTGGGGGGCCAAGATCGTTTCACTTCTAATGGTTCTATCCTGGGCCTCTTCACTGGCCACTAGGGGGCCAGGAGCAAGTAGAACCGAGCGCAATTAGAACTGAGCGCGGTTAGACATGAGCGACGTGCATTGTTCATGTCGGAGTATTCGAGTCTTCTTTGATTGTTCTGGGGGACATCGATCCTTTCACTTCTAGTGGTTCTATCCTGGGCCTCTTCGCTGGCAACTAGGGGACCAAGAACAATTAGAAACGAGCAAAATTAGAACTGAGCACGGTTAGAAATGAACGACCTGCATGGTTCATGTCGAAGTATTCCAATATTCTTTGATTTTTCTGGGGGGGCATAGATCCTTTCACTTCTAATGGTTCTATGCTGGGCCTCTTCGCTGGCAGCTAGGGGGCAAGGAACAATCAGAAACGGGCACAATCAGCACTGAGCACGATTGAAGTCTTCGAAAGTTCTTTGGTTTTCTTTGGGGGCCAATGTCCTTTCACTTCTAATGGTTCTATCCTGGGCCTCTTCACTGGCAACTAGGGGGCCAGGAACAATTAGAAACGAGCACAATTAGAACTGAGCACGGTTAGAAATGAACGACGTGCATGGTTCATTTCGAAGTCTGCGAACTTTCATTGTTTTTTCTTTGGGGAGGGGGCAGGATCCTTTCACTTCTAATGGCTCTATCCTGGGCCTCTTCCTGGCCATTAGGGGGCCAGGAACAATCAGAAACAAGCACAATTGGAACTGAGCGCGATTTGAAATGAACGGCATGCATCGTTCATTTCGAAGTCTTCGGAAGTTCTTTGTTTTGTGGGGGGGGGTCAAGATCCTTTCACTTATAATGGTTCTATCCTGGGCCTCTTCACTGGCCACTAGGGGGCCGGGAACAACTTGAAACGAGCCCAATTAGAACTGATCACGATTAGGAATGAACGGCGTGCACTGTTCATTTCGAAGTCTTCGATCGTTATCTGGTCAGTTCTGGGGGACACAGATCCTTTCACTTCTAATGGTTCTATCCTGGGCCTCTTCGCTGGCCGCTAGGGGGGACAGGAGCAATTAGAACAGAGCACAATTAGCACTGAGCACGATTAGAAATGAACGGCGTGCAGCGTTCATTTCGAAGTCTTCGAAAGTTCTTGGAATCTTTTGGGGGCCGAGATCGTTTCACTTCTAATGGTTCTATCCTGGCCACTAGGGGGCCAGGAACAATCCACAACGAGCGCAATTAGAACTGAGCGCGATTAGAAATGAACGACGAGCATTGTTCATTTCGAAGTCTCCGAAGTTCTTTGACTTTTTTTGGGGGGGCCATATCCTGGGCCTCTTCCTGGCCACTAGGGGGCCAGGAACAATTAGAAACGAACACAATTAGAACTGAGCGCGAATAGACATGAACGACGTGCATTGTACAGTTCGAAGTCTGCGAAGGTCCTTTGATTTTTTTGGGGCAAGGTTTTCGCATTTCTAATGGCTCGATCCTGGGCCTCTTCCTGGCCACTGGGGGCCATGAACAATTAGAAACGAGCACACTTAAAACTGAGCGCGATTAGAAATGAACGACGTGCAGTGTTCATCTTGAAATATTCGAAAGTTCTTTAATATTTTTTTGGGGCAAGATCCTTTCACTTCTAATGGTTCTAGCCTGGGCCTCTTCACTGGCCACTAGGGGGCCACGAACAAGTAAACACGAACACACTTAGAACTGAGTGCGGTTAGAAATGAACGGCGTGCATTGTTCATTTCGAAGTCTTCGAAGGTCCTTTGATTTTTTGCGGGCAAGACTTTCGCATTTCTAATGGCTCGATCCTGGGCCTCTTCCTGGCCACTGGGAGCCAGGAACAATTAGAAACGAGCACACTTAAAACTGAGCGCGATTAGAAATGAACGACGTGCAGTGTTCATCTTGAAAGATTCGAAAGTTCTTTAATAATTTTTGGGGGCAAGATCCTTTCACTTCTAATGGTTCTAGCCTGGGCCTCTTCACTGGCCACTAGGGGGCCACGAACAAGTAAACACGAACACACTTAGAACTGAGTGCGGTTAGAAATGAACGGCGTGCATTGTTCATTTCTAAGTCTTCGGAAGTTCTTTGGCTTTGTTGGGGGCCACGATCCTTTCACTTCTAATGGTTCTATCTTGGGCCTCTCCCTGGCCACTCGGGGGCCAGGAACAATTAGAAATGAACACACTTAGAAACGAGCGCGATTAGAAATGAACGACGTGCATTGTTCATTTCAAAGTCTTCGAACGTTCTTTGACTTTCTTGGGGGGGGCAAGATCCTGTCACTTCTAATGGTTCTATGCTGGGCCTCTTCCTGGCCACCAGGGGGCCAGGAGCACATAGAAACGAGAACACTTAGAATTGCGCACGATTAGAAATGAACGACGTGCATGGTTCATTTCGAAGTCTTCTGGCGTCCTTTGGCTTCTTGAGGGCCAAAATCCTTTCACTTCTATGGTTCTATGCTGGGCCTCTCCCTGGCCACTGGGGGCCAGGAACAATTAGAAACGAGCACAATTCGAACTGAGCACGATTAGAAATGAACGACGTGCATTGTTCATGCCGAAGTCTACGAACGTTCTTTGGATTTTTGGCGGGCCAAGGTCCGGTCACTTCTAATGGTTCTATCCTGGGCCCCTTCCTGGCCACCAGGGGGCCAGGAACAATTAGAAACGAGCGCAAGTCAAACTGAGCACGATTAGACATTAACGACGTGCCATGTTCATGTCAAAGTCTTCGAAAGTTCTTTGATATTCTTGGGGGAAGATCCTTGAACTTCTGATGGGTCTATCCTGGGCCTCTTCCTGGCAGCTAGGGGGCCAGGAGCAATTAGAAACCAGCACAATTAGAACTGAGCGCGATTAGAAATGAGCCACGTGCATTGTTCTTTTTGAAGTCGTCGAACGTTCTTTGAACTCGTTTGCGGGCCAAGATCCTTTCACTTCTAATGGTTCTATCCTGGGCCCCTTCCTGGCCACCAGGGGGTTAGGAACAATTATAATCGAGCGCAATTAGAACTGAGCGCGATTGGAAATGAACGACGTGCAATGTTCATGTCGAAGCCTTCTGAAGTTCTTTGATTTTGTTGGGGGGCCAAAACCCCTTTACTTCTAATGGTTATATCCTGGGCCTCTGCCTAGCCACTGGGGGGCCAGGAACACTTAGAAACGAGCATACTTAGAACTGAGCGCGATTAGAAATGAGCGACGTGCATGGTTCATTTCGAAGTCTTCGGAAATTCTTTGATATTATTGGGGGCCAAGATCCTTTCATTTCTACTGGTTCTATGCTGGGCCTTTTCCTGGCCACCAGGAGGCCAGGAACAATTAGAAACGAGCACAATTAGAACTGAGCACGATTAGAAATGAACGACGTGCAGTGTTCATCTTGACATCTTCGAAAGTTCTTTGGTATTCTTGGGGGGGGCAAGATCCTTTCACTTCTACTGGTTCTAGGCTGGGCCTTTTCCTGGCCACCAGGTGTTCATTTCGAAGTCTTCGACAGTTCTTTGATGTTGTTGGGGGGGCAAGATCCTTTTTCTTCTAATGGCTCTATCCTGGGTTTCCTCCTGGCCACTAGGGGGCCAGGAACAATTAGAAACGAGCACAATTAGAACTGAGCACGATTAGAAATCAACAGCGTGCGCTGTTCATTTCGAAGTCTTCGAAAGTTCTTTGCTTTTTCGGGAGCCAAAATCCTTTCACTTCCAATGGCTCTATCCTGGGCCTCTTCCTGGCCAGTTGGGGGGCATGAACACTTAGAAACGAGCACAATTAGAACTGAGCGCGATTAGAATTGAGGACGTGTGGCCCAATAAGATTTTCCGTCGCGATATCCTCACAGAGTGAGGGCCCTGAGCTCCGACGACGCGGAAAGGCTGCATCATCGCGACGGCGAGGACCCCCAGAGGCCGAACCACTACACGTCGTTGATTTCTAGTCGTGCTCATTTCTCACTGTGCTCGTGTCTGCTTGTTCCTGGCCCCCTGGCTGACAGGAAGAGGCCCAGGACAGAGCAATTGGAAGTGAAAGGATCCTGGCCCCCAAAAAACAAAGAGCTTCCGAAGAATTGGACATGAACTACGTGTCGCCGAACAGCCTTCCGTCGCGATATCCTCACAGAGCGAGGGCCCCGAGATCCGACGACGCGGGGAGGCGGCAGGTTCGCGAGGAATCGCCATCCGAGCCCCGAACCCGATCGCTCTGCTGCGTTTCTCGAGCCGGATCGCTCTTCGAGAGGGTCGCGGGGCCTGGCAGCATGCGAGCACGCCCGCCTCCACCAAAATTGAGACGCCGGATTGCAAAAAAAAAACCAGGATTGCAAAACGAAGGATTGCAAAAAAAACCCTTGAACGAAGGATTGCGAAAAAAACACTTTTTTGCAATCCTGGGTTTTTTTGCAATCCTGGGTTTTTTTGCAATCCTTCGATCTCAGGAGCACAGAGGGGCTCCTCCACGTCAGCCTTGTCCTTCAGGGCGCGCTCGAGGCCTCCCAGGCGTGCCTCCAGCACGGCGCCTATGCGGGAGAACTGGCCGCCCTCGCGGGCCTGCGGGGACAGCAGGCGACCACAACCACATCGAGAAACCGCCCTGGGGGAATGCCTTGCGCATGCCAGCGATCATCGGCACGCCGACGCCAGCTTGGTACTGGTCGTGGTCGATGTGGTCGGTGTGGGCGTCGCATGTGGCCAGATCGTCGTGATGTTTGTCGCGACGCGAGCCTGTTTGGGCCTTGGGGCCGGCGGAACGGCGCAGGCCTCTTGCAGTCCACCCGTAGGATAGGGACGCGCGAGAAGGAATGCAAGAGCCTTGGAAGGCCATGCCGACCCTTTGCGAGCGGGGCGTGGCCAGCGAAAGTGGCCAAGGATGGGCCGAAGGGGTAGGATGACAGGGCAACCTTGGAAAATGGCTCATCCTCACTGTGCGGGTTGACCGTGGATCTGTTTCATGGTGGCTGTGGCTCCCTGTTGCGCCCAGGGTGCCCGCTCCAGGCCGGCCAGGCGCCCCTCCAGCTGGCGCAGGCGGCCGCGCAACACAGTGTCCGCGTGGGCCGCGGGAGTCTCGGCCTGGACGAGGGCCTGGCAGGGGCCGTCCCACCTGAGAGGGGAGGGCACAGCACGGACTTCACCCAAGAGAATGTTACGAACCGCTCGCAACATTCCACCATCCGCGCGCGAATGGGCAAGTGTCATACCCGGGGTGCCCACATGCCACGCTTGCTATACCGCGGTGAGCATGAGGCTCAAAGAGAAAGGAGCCTGGGAGTCTGAAATAGCAAACCGTCTGAAATGTCACCACAATCTGCGCGTGAACGGGCAAGTGTCATACCCCCTGGCGGCTCCTGCGTGGGTTGCCCAAATGCCAAGCCTGCCATCTCGCAGTGAGCATGAAGCTAAGAGAAGGAGTCTGGAGGGCACAGCAGCAACCCGCCTGAGACATCCCCACAATCTGAGCGCGAACGGGCAACTGTCATACCCCTTGGCGGCTCCTCCTTGGGGTGCCACAAAGCCACTCCTGCTACGTCTGGTGTGGGTTCGACTGAGCGTGACGGCGTCAGAGTGTGACAGAGTGTGAGAATGAGAAATGCCACACCTGGTACGTCGGGTGAAAAGTTCGTCTGTGTCACTGAGTCTGAATAAGAGCGGGTCTGAGTTTGACAAAGATGAGTGTGATTGTATATGAGTGCGAGCGGTCTGTGCGTATGTGCATCTGTGTGTGAGTGAGTCTCAGTGGGAGTCGGTCTGACTGTGAGTGAGTCTGGCTGTAAGTGAATCTGAGCATATGTGGCAGAAGTGTAGATATCTGTTTGCTAGGAGCGAACGGGGGCGGGAGGACGTGAACGAGGAGGGGAAAACGAATGCGTCACACTACTGCACTAACAAGACATCTTAGGATATGGACAACAATCATACTATCTTATGGCATGGGGAATCACAATATAAGGAGAGCGAAGGCGTGACGGAAGGAGGCGGCGACACACCATGATAAGAATGCGATTGGTGAAAACCGCATCTCAGGATATGGGAAGAAGTACGTCGTGAATTTCCACCACCCGGGTGGTCTGGTCCTAATTAACGTTGCCCCTGTGCTGAGTGAGCTACCAGGCCCCTGTCGGCGATGAATGGGCGATTGGGGATAGATGCGTCCTCCCCTGAGGCTGCGATTTTTGCTGAGCGTGTCGCGGCGGCGGCCCCGGCGACACGCTATGCCTCACGAGCTGATAGCGTCTTGCTCCGCTCCGCGCGAGTCCGGGAAAAGCCCGAGACGTTCGGACGCTCGAGGACCGGGACGTGGTCAGCGTTGTCGCGCCGAAGCGTGGTGGGCCAGAATAGGCAGCGCGACACGCCATGCATAAGTTCCTGACCGCATCCCCCGCCCGAAAGTACATGAACAAGTACCGACACCGCTACTCCCCGGCCTCTCCAGGAATGCGTTCGGACTAGAGTTCCGAAGCGAACCCAGCCGTGGCGACGAGGGCCCCACAGGAGGCCCAAGAAGGCGAAAACGAGGAAAGTGCAGCGGCATAGGTACCCCCCCCTCCTCCTCCTCCTCCTCCTCCTCCTCCTCCTCCTCCTCCTCCTCCACCTCCTCCTCCTCGAGAGTTGCCCCCGGCCACCGCCGCTCGCCCGCGCTGGGGGTGCCGAGGGCCACGTCGCGACCGCCGTCTGGCCAGCCGCGGTTGTCGAGGCCCTCCTCCCGCGGGCTCGCCGACGGCCGCGGGCGCTTCGCCTCGGCCGCGCGCGGCGCGCGCCCGGGCGCCGCTGCTTCCCCGCCCGGCGGCGGGGCCGCAGCGGCAACGCCGCTGTTTCGCCGCCCGGCGGCGCTCGCCATCGGCCCGCGCGCGCGGCACCGTGGGCGCGGCACCGCAGGGAACGGCGACGCGGCGAGGTGCAACGAAAGGGGAGGGCCAGCACTAGGGGGGAGGCTCGAGGCTCGAGGCTCGAGGTTTTCGTTGGCTCCCGGCGGCGTTCCAGCCCCAGGATGCCTTCCAGCGGCTGCGCCTCGCCGAGAGTGTCCCTGGCGTGCCAGGATCGCCCCGAGCGGCCGCCAGAGGCCCGAGCCACGACGGGCAGACCACCAGGGGGCCAGCTCCAGGGAACGGCCATCGACTCGGACTCGGCGGTGCATCGCCGAAACATCGGCGCCGGGCCCCCCTTCCAAAACGAACCCGCACGCCCGTCTGGGCGATCAATGGGCGACTGGGAGTCGATGCGTCCCCCCCCCCGAGCCTATCCCATGGTTTTCGGGTCACACCTCGGCCCTCGCGCGGCCGTTCGGGACGATCCGGGCACCCCCGGAAAGCCCTCGGCGAAGCGCAGCCGCTGGAGAACATTCCGAGGCTGGAGAAACCTTGGAGAATCGACGAAAACGGCGGGAAACCGCAAATCCGATTGGCGATCACTGGGAGATTGGGAATCGATGCGTTCCCCCCCTGAGTCCATGCCCCCCCGAACGTCGCCTCTGATGTGGGCGTGCTGCGGACGTGGGCGCGGGCCCAGCGGCAAGGCGCGCGTGGGCGCGGCGCGCCAATCTTTTGAGAGCTCGCCTGCGCTCGATCCAGAGGTGGCCGCGGGAGGGCGTCGCACGGAGCAGAAAATACTGACGAGGGGCAGGTGTCTCAGGCCCTCGAGTCGTGGTTCTTTGTTTGTCTGTTTCTTATATTCTCCCCCCTCGTTCAACGAGAAATCGCGGCGCGGGGTTGTTGGCCGCTTTCGGCCTCCCGGGCCCTCGCTGGGCTCCGGGGCCGTCAGGAGACGACTCGGGATGGCTCGGATTTCTGGGAGTCGAGGTCGTGAGCTGAGCAGGGACCGCCCTTCCCGCATTCCTATAGGCCTACCGCGACATGCTCTTAGAACGAAGGGATGCTCTAACAACAGAGACAAGGTTCTCAGAACGTAGCGCCGGCGCTCCAAAACCATACGAGTCTCAGCCAGAAATTGTCGAAGGACAGCTGGTGCGGTCCACAAGAAGTTCTTGGAGCATTCTTTGGTGGGCTTCCAGGGAAGTCTGGACGCCTCGCCACTGCCTGAGTGAAGCAATCAGGGCGTCGGGGGTATGGGGCAGGAAGAGCATGACGAACCAACAACACACACCCATACCCATAGGGGGATCGGAGAGGGCTATGGGTGCGTGTTGTCGGATGGGGGTCCACGCTCGAACGGGAGCGTTCCCCAAGGTCCGACAACCCGCACCCATACCCCTAGCCAGTCCTCCTCCCAACGACCTCCCTATGGGTATGGGTGTGTGTTGTTCGTTCGTCAGAGCAGGCGTAGGAGTCGGACAGGGACAGGAAACGGCCGCGGGGAGGAGAGCCACGCACACCTCTCCGCCCGTGCATGTGGTGCTTGCGCGCGGCCCACTGTGAAGGGGCCCCAGGACACACAAATAAATACACACAAATGAAAATATTCCCAATCTTTTGCCATATTTTCTGGGTTTCTGTCTTCGCCCCCACTTCCCATATTTTCCCAGATTTTCTGGGGAATCGACGATTAACTGTGTCTGTGTGTGTTTTTCCCCTCCTGACACTGGTGATGGTCTCTGCGTCGCTCCGTGTTGCAACGGATGAGCCCGAAGAGTCCAGGAGCGCCCGCTGATGGCGTGCCAGACGGCTCACAAGCCTCGCGGCCGGCGGGAGTTGTCAGAAGTAGTGGTTCTTGGAATTGTCGGCGGTGGCACCTTGACCTGGCGGGCCGCTACCCTCGCAGCTGTGACGGCCGCAACCGGCGATCGTAGAATGCTGTGGATGTGGAAGAAGCGCGCTAACCGTGCTACAGTGTGCGGCAGGTTGGAAATGACTCAAGGAAGAGGAGGAGGAGGAGGAGGAGGAGGAGGAGGTGGAAATTCCTCCCTCACCCGAGTCAGTCGCAGTGCCTCCGTCGTCTCCGCCATGTTCGTCGTTCCCTACTTTTCGCCCCGCTGCCTCACTGCTACCCAGCTTCGTTTTCAGAGGTCGCCCAGATAACCGTCCAGAGTGGCCAACCGCCTTCAAGAAGGCCGCGCGCAAGACCCGACCCTGCAAATCCGCACGCGAGGTGCAACCAGGGGGAAGCCTAGAGCACCCTGAATGCAGCAGTTTCGTGAAGCCCGCGACAATCACCGCCCCACGCACGAAGCGGAAAAAACCCGCACGCACTGACGTACAGCATCCGGTGTCTTGATGCGCGTCCCTCACTGGAAGTCTCGGCAGGACACCCCAGCGGGCAGCTGGGGGAAAACGATCGGGGGGGACGGGCCCAGGGGGGGAAGCATCGACTTGGAGTCGGCGGTACATCGGCGATAGGCACCCGATGGCGCATCCCAGTGCTGCTGGGCGGGCTGGGCTATCAGGCCGCTATCGGCGATCAGTGAGTACTGGGGGGTGGACGCGTCCCCCCCTGAGCCTATCCCCCCCAAGACCCCCTGTGTCGCAATTTCTCCGCAACGTCGACACCCAGATATCTCGACCCTC